ACACACACACACACACACACACACACACACCGGTCGTCACGTTAGCCAAAGCGAGCGCAGGTATCATTGCGAAGGCCCCCTCCGACTCGCGGTACTTCGCGGATGGCGAAGTTGGGAACGCCGGTGCGCCGAAACGCGGAGCGTATAACGTATGTATAACGCGTAAGCGCGCTTTCGCGCTTACTTAGCGGCCGGCGAGCGCGCGTGTGCGCCTCGCCGTCCTCCGAATCGGAGCCCGAATGGAAAACCCATTGTTACGTACACCTCGCGCGATACTCGTTCGCAGATTACACGGCCATCCGTTCCAGATTGAATCGTCTCATCTCTCCTTTCCACGTGAAAATTTTAATCGAAGGATTATCATGAAACAGACTGTTTTTCTCTTTTTTTAATGAAAAGTTTGATGTAAAATCGCTGTTTTGAAGTACAAAAGATTTTTAAGCTTGAAAAATGTTTAATCTTGAAAATCAGGAAGCTTACTTCCTTCGCTTTCGCTCGTGGTTCCAAATCTCAATATTTTCCCTATTGAATAGAATATTTAATAGAATATTGTCGTAGCGCTTGAGAGTTTTGAATAAAAAAAATTGTCGAAAAACCTATCCAGTTTGTAAAGATTGATGCATCATTCATTTTTATTTACATATATTTCGAGCCCAGCGGCACATGTCGCGGAAAAGAGAATGTTGCGTAGACGAATTCTGGCCAGCTGTTGTGTTCCACAAAGCCTTCAGCTTTACCATGAATCGGCCAGCCGAGCGTCACGTGTTAGAAAAAATCACAAAGAAACAATATATCAATATTACAACAACCCGATAACATTTGCATAATAATCTTATAGTTCTTATAGAAAAACATTGAATTAAATTAATAATTTATATAGGCGCGAGTTGAGATATCGTGATTTGTAAAAACTTGCAAATTATTGACGCGCGAGATAGGATTACGCAAAGCAACGCTGGTACGCGAACGTGGCTGTAATAATTCATTAATATCGCGGAAATGAAACACGATAGACAACATTAGATAGCATTTGACGCTTAAGTGCTTAATGTTAACGTTGATTTATTTTGAACGTTAATTAAGTAACCAGAACTAATTGAATTTCCGATCCATGTGCGCGCGTCCGCGCGGCTTTGTAATGGAGACTAATCGTTCCAAAATATAGCCGACAGCTTACAGAAAATTGGCAGATGGCGAACACGCTGTAGATTCACATGCATTGTGTGGGATCGTTAAATGTACCTAGATTATACGAGTTCGTATCACGATTATACCGCAACTTCTAGCGGATATCCAAGTACTAAGCACTCAAGGACATTCGTCGCTTTACGTTCTGGCGTTTTTTTTTTTTTTTTTTTGCTAACACCGTTAGAGGTTGCAGACGGTCAAGACGAATGAAGGACGTTTATAGGCGAACATTCTAAATACGATGACACGTCAGATACGTAATCGTCCGTAGACAAATGTAATTTTCATTTCAAGGCGATCGCGCTGGACTTCCTCGATCGCCTGTCCTCGATCGAATTATCAAATATGAATTGATGAATAATCAGCATATATAATTTATCGCTATTATCTCGTATTTGGGAACTTGATTTGGAAACTTGACCGACTATTATTTATTTCACTATGACATTAACTTTATAATTGGTTTATAGAAATATTTGTTTTTAACAAGAGCTGACTTTGTTGGGTGAAACCAATTAGCACGATCGATCTGCTTGATGTTTAATTAATGTACAATATTCATTTAATAATAAGTAAGAATTATAACTGCAAGACACATTAAAAATATAATCATCACGATAGAGGTGAATGTTTTAATTATAACAATCGAGTATATGATCACCCGTAGACGAATAAAATTTTCATTTTGCAACGACTATATTAGAGTTGCTTAATTATCTCCTTTGAATATTCGATGAATCAGCGGGTTATCTTAATGCTATTACGTCGCTATTTAGAAATTCGCACATTAAAAGACTGTCATTGAAAATGATATTAAATTTGTAATTAAAAATACCAGTTTTTGGCAAAAGCGAAGTTTCCTTTAAATAAAACCAAAACCACGGATGTTTCATTTTTTACAACGGCAGAAAAGACCAGCAAAAAATCTAGAAAAAAAATCTAGCAATATAATACATTATATATATTTCGTGTACGTTATATGTGTATGTTTTTTTATCTGTACATTTTTTCAAGTTACGATTATAAGTTATCAGTTTTGTAATTTTTTTCGTCTGTTAAATAAGAACGAGAGAAGAAGGGATATGTAAACGCGCAATAGTACGGCGAATGGAGGACGTGTGTTAGTTGAAGTACCCAAAAGTAGCGTGGATATTCGATTCGTGACGCATCTTTTAGAGGTGATACCGTTAGAGGTCCCAGACGGTCAAAATGTTCTAGTCTCTCTATATCACGACACACACACACACACACACACACACACACACACACACACACACACACACACACACACACACACACACAGACGTGGCTCTACAAATAGATATCCGATTTATACGGACCGGATAAAAATGGCCTTGAATTATTTCGTCGTCTAAAGTAGTCTGAAATCGTGATTACATATCATCACGATGTCTAAGTCGATTAAAATCATAGAATAAATTGCTGCTATCTAATCGAACAAAAATGTGGTGTCTACTAAAAAAGTCTATTAAACGATGGAGATGGAGAAAAATAAAGAGAGAAGAAACGTTCGATATAACTCATTTAAGCAGCACGATACGGACATAAGAGATAGACAAAGATAGTATAAGAAAGAATATCACGTAATATTACAGTATAATCTTTGCAAATTTGCTATCTATTTTCTCTCATGTAATGAGAAACTATTAAGCCATTTGTCATAACTGCTTACTTAATTGTCAATATTATATTTGATATTATATTATCGAGCTCTCTTTTTTTTACGAAGACTCCGAAAAACTTATTTAAGATTATATTTGCATTTGTGATTAGTAAGAAGTCAAATGTGAAAGGCTAGCCAATGGCGATGCGCGATATTTCGCCGTCGAGGCCAAACACTCTAATGCGTCATTGGTAATTGATTGTGAATGTTTGATGCATCGAAGAAAGAGAAATGACGATCTCGCTGTGAAGGATCTTCAAGCTTCTCCAATGTGATTCTCTCATCTTATTATTATTTCCTGCTTGTATCTTATAATTTGCGATAAACATCGCAAAGCGTTTATAATTTATAACTTTTTAAAATAGAAAGATGGATTTTTATATAAAAATTTTAGAATAAATCATAGGATATTTTGTTTTCTTCTTGTAATTTCAAATTTAACAATGTCTTATTGAAAAATGTCTTATTCAAGCGTTTTGCTCCTCTACATTGACAACACTACGTGATAAAAGCTGTGACAGTATGAGATTAGAGATAAAGTTGCGAGATTATTTATGATATGTAAAGTAAATGCAAAATGCACATTTTTTCTTCCTCCTTTCCTTCCTCCTCCTCGAGGTACGTAAATGTTATTCAAAATAGTTTACGCGTGCATTCTTAAATTTCAATTTTTGACACTTGATCTTTTTT